AAGCATATATTTATTTTAATACTTTCATTTTATTTTATACATTTTATTTATGTAGTATTTCATTGCCAGCGACTGCTAAATGTAATTGTTGTGCACATTACAATAGTCTTGAAACAGCCAGGACATCAGGGTTTAAGTGGTATTATGTTATAATACCGTCACTGTTCATAAAATGAAAAATGCCATATTAACTTTAAGTTGTATCACCAACCCCTATTTAGTGTATGAATAGTTGAATGTGACTCATAATGTGAAGCGCATTGAGAGGTCATTAAGACTAGAAAAGCGTGTCTATGTGAATAAAAATAATAACTATATTGCAGATTTATTTCTACTTATGCACATCTTTTACCTTTGTCTTCTTGTTTGATTTGATTTATTTTGATTACGCTGGCATATTTTGCTTAGCCCTTACTCTCACTGCTATACCTGCTCTTTCATCGCTTGCTGTGGATCTCTGATTCTGATTAATAAGCACTACAGCAAAGCCCAGTTTTGTAAATGTAATACATGAACAGCTTCATACTGTATGTAATGAGTGTGGCAAATTTACTAGAAATGGCCTCCCTTACATAGAGTTTCTTGACATATTTCTTCTGATTGTCGATTCATTTTTTGATTACGAGTCTCTCCCTCAAATCTTTCCAGTAAGAGTAAGTCAGCAGATTAATGCAGTGAAACTGCAAAATCGTACATATACAATTAGCTCATAGAATAACTCTGACTCTTCCACTCAAAACCCATTTAGCTGTTCCAAGTTAGCCTAGACCACATTAGAAAGTGTAAGGTGAAATGATCTGGAACAGGTTTACAGATTTTGATTATTGCTTAAAATAATAATGTTGGTCTCTTATTACCGGAAACGCACGACAGATATTGATGTGGAAAAAGTCCACTGATAATACACAAACAATAAAACAATGTCCACTCTAAAACCCTCCACACCTAAAAAAAATTACAAAGTACAATCTGATTAAAGGCGGAGCAAAGATCAAGTATCCATTATTGACAGTAAGCTGTTGATAGGAGTTGCGCAGTCAGGCAATGTTACTGGCTGTAGGTGAGAGGTCCCCCCTGAAAGTCTGAAGAACAAACCATTTACAAAATCGTGTGCTGGACAGCTGCGAGATACGGCTGTGTCTGAATAATGCATTCTATGGAGACAGAGCATTTCCAAGCATTAATACGAAAACGTGTTAGATGCCACGCTGTCTTCTTAAGAAACATGGATTTTGTATGTTATGTTATGTTAACTACCAAAACTGAACGGGGAACACGTTGGATGGAAATTATTATCAAAGACAAAAACTTGGCGTACACTTTGTATACATGTGACCCGCGGCGGACAACGGTGGATATATTCCAACTACCGCCACAGGTACCGCTAACGTTCAGATAAGATACAATAGTCCTCTAAACACGTTTAATTACGGCAAACTTGTCAACGGGTAAACCCGAAACTCGCTCTCAGTTTGTTTAGCATAGTCAATATCTCTAGGACAAAGCTGAACGCTATGAAATGTGGGAAAACCGTTATATACCAACACGTTGCCGAGATCCATACCCACCTGGAGGTCTGCCATCTTTTTTTATGTATCTGAAGAAACGTTCTCGACGTAAAACTGACACTGTAGAGGCGGAAGGACAGTCCACTGTTCCTTGTATTAACCAACCACTGACTCGATCGATCCCTGGACTCAAGCCCCCCCCCCACCAAACCACTTCTTCTTCTTCCTCCTCCTCCTCCTCCTTCTTCTTCTTCTTCTTTGAATTATGCAGAGTAGGCGCTTTAATGGCACATTGCTGCCCTCTATTGTTTGTTTTTGAAGTTCCTTGTGACGGTCATTTACATATTTATATCTAGTCCCATGCTATCAGAGGTGGGTAGAGTAGCCAAAAATTGTACTCAACTGTTACTTCAGAATAATATGACTCAAGTAAAAGTAAAAAGTAGTCATCCAAATAATTACTTGAGTAAGAGTAAAGAAGTGCTTAGTGGAAAAACTACTGAGTACTGAGTAACTGTTGAGTAACGTCTGATTTATTTGTTAACACAAGCATTCAATCAGACAGACAAAAATACAAAATAATCATCTTTAGGCAAATTAGAGTTCATCCAATCAATAAAATAAACTAAAATTAATTAATTAATTACAAAATAGCTTAAATTAAAATAATCCAGTTAAATTCAAGTACTTCAATAAAATATAAAATCAATAAATAAAATAAAATTAAGCACAATAAACACACATTTCCAAGCCTTTGTACTTTTTCACTAGGCTCTGCAGGCAGAACTAGAATAAGGCAGCCCATAAACTGTGTGTAAATGGTTGTATTTATATAGCGCTTTTCTAGTCTTGAAGACCACTCAAAGCACTTTACACTACAGTTTCTCCATTCACCCATTCACACACACATTCATACATAGAGTGCTTCTATAGCTAGCACTTTTTGTTGTTCTATTGGGCAGTTCGGGGTTCAGTATCTTGCCCAAGGACACTTTGGCATGCAGATGGGAAGACTGGGGATTGACAGCTTCTTGATGTGAGGAAAGGTGTGGAGTAGATCCATACCTGCAGGGGACAGACATGAAAGGTACCTCTCCAGCTCTCCTACTTGTGATTTTCCCAACGCCATGGATGCAAAGAAGTTGTCTTCATCAGAGAGGCTGCTGTTTGTGCTGGTGACATCAGTCAAGTGGGTGTCAAGGTGATTTCTGATGTAGTCAAGGCCTGTGGCAAGATAAATCGTTTTTCAAAATAATAAGGTCTGCACATTATTCCTACCCTTCTACTGTATAGGCTGTCAAGCTGCTGATGTTTGACATTAAAAGCTACCTGTGAAATTTTAATCGGTTTTAATGTTTTAATGATGTATACTTTTAATGACTCTCTTTTAATGTTTTTCTTTTTAATGTTTTTCCTTTTAAATGTTTCACTTTTTTGCTTTTAACTATGTACAGTGTCCTTGAGTGACAGAAAGGCGCCTTTGAAATAAAATGTATTATTTATTGTATTATTATATTGCCACCCTGTGGTTTGTCACTGACACTCTATAATCCTAAATGACAGAAACATTATACAGATTAATATAGGTCAATGTCTACTGGTTCACATTTGAAATGATAAACAAGTATATTCACCAGCATTTTAAATGTTCTCTTCTGTGGTCCAGGATGTTCTGAATCTTGGTAGGAGTATTGCTGCTGCAATCAGCTCAGGCTCTTTCATGACGTCTCCAAAACGTTTCTGGATCCCTTGCTGCAGGGCGTGAACAAGAGGTGTACACATTTTGCAAGATGACTCCAACCTCTTCAGCTTGTCCCGCAACTGGTAAAGTGTTGGCAGCAGGAGGCCCATATGCATAGATGATTCCCCTTGGAGGGTATTAAGGGCCATGGCAACAGGCTTCATCACAGCAGCATACAACCAAAAACCCCATTTCAGCTGGATTGAACCTATAAAAGATGTAACAATAAAACAACATACTTTTAGCTCTTTCTGGTATTCTGCACTGTACATGTTAAATAAACAAATAAATTAAAATAAAATAAATTAGTTAAATTATTTCATTCAAGTCATCCACAATTGTCACACCACCATGCAAAGAAGCTTAGTTTCTTCAGACAAGTGGATTCACCTATTAATCAGCAAGGCTTATTTATTTGTATTATTCTTTAAAAACAAAATATAACTTTTTTCAACTTACATCTTTATCTTTAATGCTGTGCTGACATTGCGAATTGCTTGTTCTCCTTGCTCTTGGTGAATGCACACAATCCTTTCTACAGCAAGGAACAGGGAACTCCAGCGTGTCTGATTGAGTCTTAGAAACTGAGGCTTGCATTCACGTTCCACTGTTTCATGAGCCATGGTTGACCTGCTGGTTTTATTCCAAAGAGCACGACATCTTGTAAAAGCAGACCGAGACACCCTCTTGTAGGTTTTGTTTGCAGCTCCTCCTGCAGCAGTGGCATCAACAGTGGCTATAAGATTGAGGATATGGCATGCACACTTTTGGTGCCTTTGAAGTGTAACCAGGCTGACTGTGAGTCACAGCTCCATTGAATCCAGTATACCCCCATCCCTGAAAATCAATGTCTTTATTAACTTCTTTAATGATACATTTCTAACAATTAGAAAATCACAGGAACAGTTGATAATCCTACTAATTATTTAAACAGCTTCTCCCTGATCACTCTTGATCAGCTGACCTCAATAATCTCATCGTCTAAACCTGCAAGTTGTATCTTAGATCCTATTCCTACAAATTGCTTAAAGACATTCTGCTCTTAATAAATAGTACTTTACTGAATGCAATCAATCTATCCTTATGATCAGGATATGTACCACAGTCCTTAAAACTAGCTGTAATCTTACCTTCTTAAAAAAAACACATTAGACCCAGAGGTTTTAGCCAACTACAGACCAATGTCCAGCATCCCCTTGCTGTTTAAAATCCTCAAGAAGGTTGTAGCAGATGAGCTGTGTGAGTCTCTCCAGTGAACCCACCACCCAACCACAACATGGACACATTGTTGACAAAAGTCACAAATAACCTTCTTATAACCTAAGGGTTATTGACTGTCTTTGTCCTCTGAGATCTTAGTGCAGCATTTGTGAGGCTTAGTGCGGCATCCTCAATTCATTTACTTTTTGAGACGTTCTCCATTACACGTGGCATCTATTGCACTTCTGTCCATCCTGGAAGAGGGATCCCTCTGTGGCTCTCTCTGAGGTTTCTACGTTATTTCCCCTGTTAAAAAAGGTTTTGGGGGTAGTTTTTCCTTACTCACCATCGATTAATAACTAAACACATAATCATCATCGAAATAATCCCAATAAAAAACAAAACAAATGAACGTGAACTAGTTAATTTTCATCTGTATGAATTGAGCTAGATCTTTGTAAGTGTAAGCTGGCTCAACACTTCTCGTCAGTTTCCCTTTATACCCTGAATCACTTACATGGACACGCTCATGGAATATTTCATTGTAGTGGGGGGTTGCAGAGACACTAGTTACTTGCGAATTATAGGCATTCTGATGCTGTTTTAGTGTATGGGTTTTAGAAAGAAATGATTAAGTAACGAAAAAGGGCCCTTGGTAGTTCAGAGCCCAAGGCAATTGCCGGCCTTTGCCTAAATTATTTTACATATTTTTTGTCTGTGTAGATTTCCTCTAGGTGATCCTGAGAGGCTAGACCTGTGGATACTCAGTATGGAGAGACAGGATTGGACTCTGCAGAAGAATTCTCGTCTCTGCAGTGCACATTTTGAGAGACATCACTTGAGCATTGACACAAGGTTATACAGAAATGTTTTAATAACTTCTAACCCATGAGCTTCCTGAATCATCAGACCTAACAGGTCTGGAGGTGCTACTATCAGCCCCTCATGATTTCTCCAAAGTCCAGTAGAATCTCGGGTGGCTCCTTGGTCTAGCCACAACTGTTTATCAATTGCAGGGGCAGTTTCCTGCATTAAAATCACATCTCTAAGTGTAATTTTTTCTTCTAAGTCCACTTCATGAGTGACTAGAAAGATTTTTCCCAATTTGTCTGCTCCTCTGACTGCTTTTGCAGCTTCATCAGCCGCTTTATTTCCTTGTGTGACCTTTGACACATCGGTTTTATGTGCTGCACATTTAGCTATCGCTATCTCTTTAGGTTTCATCATGGCATGCAACAGTTTCATTATTTGATTGTGATGCTGTATTGGAGAACCATCTGTTTCCTTAAACCCTCGGTTCTTCCACACCGATCCAAACAAATGACACACATTATGTGCATATGCAGAATCTGTATATATTGTCACTCATTTACCTTTCGCCAACAAACATGCTTCAGTTAGCCCAACAAGTTCAGCAAGCTGCGCTGATGCAGGCTGTGGCACTCCTTCAGCCTTCTCAATAACAAATCCAGTTCCTTGATCTTTCCTTGGTATCTACTGCATAGCCAGCACTCAATTTATCTCATCATACTCCATCTTCTTCTTCTTCTTTATCTTTCGGCTGCTCCCTTTTCGGGGTCGCCACAGCGGATCACCTGCGTCTCACCCTATTCCCTGCCTCCTCTACTGTTACACCAACCATCTCCATATCCTCCTTCACTACATCCATGAACCTTCTCTGAGGTCTTCCTCTTCTCCTTCTACCTGGCAGCTCCATCTCCAACATCCTCTGTCCAATATATCCACTACCCCTCCTCAACACATGTCCAAACCATCTCAACCTGGCCTCTCTAGCTTTATCGCTAAACTGCTTCACCTTCACTGTCCCTCTGATCTGCTCATTTCTAATTTTGTTAAACGAAAACCTCAGCATCTTCATCTCTGCCACCTCCAGCTCAGCCTCCTGTCTTTTAGACAGTGCCACTGTCTCTAAAGCGTACATCATAGCAGGTCTCACCACTGTCTTGTAAACCTTCCCTTTCACTCTTGCTGCTATCCTTCTGTCACACATCAGTCCTGACACTCGTCTCCACCCACTCCATCCTGCCTGCACCCACTTCTTCACCTCTTTTCTATACTGTCCATTGCTCTGGATGGTTGACCCCAGATATTTGAAGTCATCTGCCTTAACAACCTCTGCCCCTTGCATCTTCACCCATCCACCTGCCTCCCTCTCATTCACACACATGTATTCTGTCTTGTCTCTACTGACCTTCATTCCTCTTCTCTCCAGTGCAAACCTCCACTTCTCCAGGTTCTCTTCTACATGCTCTCTACTCTCAACACAGATTAAAATGTCATCTGCAAACATCATGGTCCATGGAGCCTCCTGCATGACCTCATCTGTCAACCTGTCCATCACCATTGCAAACAAAAAGGGGCTCAGAGCTGATCCCTGATGTAACCCTACTCTCACCTTGAACCCATTTGTCACTCTGACTGCACACCTCACCACTGTCTCACTGTCTTCATATATGTCCTGCACCACCCTGACATACTTCTCAGCCACCCCAGACGTCCTCATACAGTACCACAGTTCCTCTCTTGGCACCCTATCATATGCTTTCTCCAGATCCAGAAAGACACAGTGCAGCTCCTTCTGACCTTCTCTGTACTTCTCTACCAACACTCTCAAAGCAAATATTGCATCTGTGGTACTCTTTCTGGGCATGAAACCAAACTGCTGCTCGCTGATCTGAACCTCTCGCCTTAGCCTCACTTTTATGGTGTGACTGATCAACTTTATACCTTTGCAGTTACTGCAGCTCTGCACATCACCCTTGTTCTTAAAAATGGGGACCATTACACTCCTTCTCCACTCATTAGGCATCCTCTCACTCTCCAGGATTGTGTTAAGCAACCTGGTCAAAAAGTCCACTGCCTTCTCTCCTAAACATCTCCATACCTCCACAGGTATGTCATCTGGACCAACCGCCTTTCCATTCTTCATCCTCTTTAAAGCTGACCTCACTTCCACCTTACTAATTCTCTGCACTTCCTGATCCACTATCTGCCCCCCCTCTGTCCTCCTCTCTCTCATTTTCCTCATTCATCAGTTCTTCAAAGTAATCCTTCCATCTACTCAGCACGCTATGGTCACTCACTAATACGTTTCCCTCTCTATCCTTTATCACCTTAACCTGCTGTACATCCTTTCCAGCTCTGTCTCTCTGTTTAGCCAAACGATA